CCCCACGTGATTCTGTGTTTCTATGAAAAGGGTGCCGTCATTCATTTCACTCAATGGCATTCTTAGACCCGGTGCTAATTTAATCCCTTTACAAACATGTTTTTCAAGTCAAAGCGTGGCTCTCCCTCCTGCACGTGCTGCTCTCCCATCACTCACAACGATTGTAGAGAGGTCGTAGCAGATATAGGGCCCAGCTGCTGCGGTGCTGAGCAGCCTAACCCCACTGCCCCACATCAGACACCCCCCTGGGGTTCATACTGAAGGCACAACGCAGGATACCCAAGAAGGGGATCTACACTCTCCACCCTGTTAAGTGAAGAACTCTACAGGAACCAGTTGGACACACCAATAAAACTCTCTGCACCTCAAAACAGCGGCGGATCCGAAGGCTGGGGTGAGGCAAAACACCTCTGTGTGGAATTCCCATTCCTGAGAGCTTTTTTTAGGCATCTCCTCCATTCCTTCTCCTCCTCCTCCTTCTCCTCCTCCACTCCTCCAAGCCCACAGGCTATTTAGCACCCACCCAGGAACCCGTTTCTCCCTGCCTGGAAGGGCTGTCACCAGCGACGTGCCTTACCAGGGCACAGACTGGGCTGGGTGAGGTGTTCCCAGTTGAAGCTGTTGCACAGCACAGGGAATAACTGGTTTTCCACCAGCTGCTGTGATGGGAAAGAAAACCAGCAGGACCGGAGGGGGTTGGGGCAGACAATCTCAGCCCCATCCCGGGCGTAAATCTTAAACACGTGTTAAAGCAGTGTATTTTGGGCAACTCTGGAAGTAGGTATTTCTGGAATCCTCCTCAATCCCGCTGTGCTTCCCAGTTAAGCCGGGGCTTGGGGAATCTATGGTTTAGACTTGAGCCTCACCAGCAGCAGCTACCTGGCTCTCAACCCTCCCAGTACCCCTGTGGGCATAACGCAGGGCACCCCAGCACCCCTGAGGAAGGGGCATCCAACTCAACCAGGTGCTCAACAACCACAGAAGAGCCCATCGTCCCTGCTCTGCAGAGCTTCTAAGTGCAAGCGAGCCAGAGAGCAGAAGGTTGAGAGAAAGGGTGGTGGTGGGGAACCCATCCCATTAAGTGCCATAATAAATGGGCAAAAAGTATAAATTTTGATTTGCCTGTCTCTTATCCTGCAATTTTGACTGTCGTTCCTCCGAGGACAGGAGCCTGCAAACTGAGTCATGGAGGCATTTTAGGTGACGGCGCCGCAGAAGAGCGACACACTCCTCCTTGTTTCTGAAATAAACCTCGGGCGTCAGCAACCTGTCCTTCTGCTCCGGGGATTAAAGTCCCAAATTTCTCAACAACAAAATCACTCCAGGCAAAGGGAGTGATGGAGGCTGAACAGCACCCAGAGCGAGACGAACTAGTTGAGTCTATGGACCATAAATCTAACGTGCCACGTGGATGCGTGGTGTTCTCCAGGAGAAAGTCCAGTCCTTTCCTCCCAGGAATAGGAAACAACCCAAATGGCCCTCCGAATTTCTAGTACCTCACATAGAGATTTTCCACTTTTACCTCCTCCAGCTTAAGGGGTGAGCTCTGCAGTTTCTTGTGAAACCTCAAAATTCCTCTTTTTGTTGCCATTTCTGGTTAGGAGTTCTCAGAAGTGATTACAACGAGGAGCTCCAGCCCCTCTCCTGATGGAAACCAAGGAAAGGCTTGAGCAGGACATCACAGAATCAAAGAAGCTTCTAGGTTGGAAGGGACCTTAAAGATCATCTTGTCCAACCATCAACCTAACTGACAAAAATAGACACCCACACAACAAACAAGGAGCATCATCACTAAACCAGACCTCCCAGCACTACATCAACCCCTCTTTTGAACACCTCCAGGGATGGGGCCTCAACCACCTCCCTGGGCAGCCCATTCCAATGCCTGATAACCCTTTCAGTGGAAAAATTTTTCCTAATATGCATTTCCTAACATGCATTTTTCCTAATATGCGTTTCCTAACATGCATATAAAATTGGTGGGTTTTTTTAAAATCGTCAGGAACGCTGGAAATCTAGTACTTCTCCAAAAAAAAAGATGTTAATAGTTGTGTGTGCTGCAAATCCAAGTGCAGCGCGAGTTAAAGTGGAGACACATAATACAGGCCCTGGCAACAGATTAACCTTCTTCAATCCTGCAGCCCACTGCAATGTATTGATTTGGAGCTGAAAATATCATCGGTGGAAACGAAATACCCCGTTCTCTTTGTTTAATCCCTGCTGTCTCTGCCACCCGGTTTCGTAACCGTAGATAAGCCATGCAGATCCTTGTCCTCAGAAAAAGAGCAAAGTTCAGGAACGCGTGTCCCTCACGCCACTGTCAACACTCCGTGTCACCTTTCAGACCCAGATGACAGACCACATTTGACAATAAACCTTTGTCTCCTCATCTATAACCTATTGTTCACCCACCACACTGGATTCTAGACACTTCCTCCCTTCCACTGCGTCCTTTTGTGGACTACATGAGTGTGAGATGGTGTCTACAGCCCTCCTTCTACCTCCCTCCGACACATCTATTGTCCCCGAGAGACTCTTGGTTCAAATCTGTGGGACAGGAATCACACAACATTTCCTTTCTTCCACAGAACTACTTCACAGAATCACAGAATCTTCTAGGTTGGAAGGGACCTTAAAGATCATCTTGTCCAACCGTCAACCTAACTGACAAAAATAGTCACCCACACAACAAACAAG